GCCGGCGCGCTCCAGTCGACCTCTGGGCCGGCGCAGCCCTCGCGCTTCGGCGGGGCCCCCGCCGCGGCCTCGAGCTGCGCCGGCGCTGCTCCCGCCTGCGCCTGGGCGGCCCCAGCCCGCCTGGATTCGCCCTCACTCTTGGCTTGTGCGCGCAGTTGCTGCACGCGCCCGTCTACGTCCTTCGGCTCCGCGCGAGTCCCGGACTTCAGGCCTCCGCGCTTGACCAACTGTGCTTGGGCGGTCCAGTGCAGACCCCCCGTGCCCTTGGTGGCCCCCCGCGCACGTGCGCATGTCTGGTTGGTCTTGGGGCAGCCCATCCACGTGCACACATCCCTGCGCAGAATCTTGCCTGCTCGGTTGCGTGGGGCGTGCTGCGCCGACTATGTGATCTCCCCTGCGGCGAGTCTCTTCCCCGCGGGGTAAGGCTTCTTGGACAGCGTCCTTGGGCCGTCTCCGGGCGCCGGCCCTCTCGCCTGCCTCTGGCGGCGGGAAGCGCGCGCCTGGGAGCCGCCCGGCGCCCTGCCCAGCGTCTCCCTCGGCGCCCCCAGCGCGGATCGGGCCTTTCGGGCCCAGGCCGTGCAAGCTGCGGTTGAAAAATCAGTTGCATCACCATCGTCGTCGGGGTCGTCGTCGTCGTCGGCATCATCAGCATCATCAGCATCATCAGCATCATCATCATCACAATCACCATCAACACCATCCAGCATCATCCTCGCAATCGAACCGCCGTCATCATCATCTACAACATAGCCAGCACCGTCGTCATCATCAGCAAGTGCATCATGAACAGCATCACAATTACCAACATCAGCAACATCAACATCAACAACAACACAATCATCATCGCTTTTTAACGCATCGTCATCATCGTCCAAGTCGAAGGTTCGGTAACTTGAAAGCTGCCTGGCCGCCAGGGCCCGCGGGGGCCTGCGCGCGCACCTTCAGGTCCTTCCCCCCGGGGTGCTGGGTGCCAAGGAGGAGACGTAGCGCCCGGCGCTTCTCCCGCAACTGCTCGCGCCAAGCCGCATTGAGCTCCTCCCGCAGTCCGTGCACGTAATTCGACGGGTGCTCGTCCTCGTCGTGCTCGCGTGACTTCCTCAGACTCTCGAGCGCGGCGTACCTCTCGGGTCCGTGCTGGCGCCCGTAGATGAGACACCAGAACATGATGGCATTCTGGGCCTGTCGGTGCCACTGGCTGAACACGACGGGGCGTCTCGGCGGGGGCTCCAACTTGACCTCCGCTGGCATCGCGCAGTCGTCAAAGTCCTCGCCCCGGCACACCGGCAAGTCGGCCGCAGACAGGCCCCAGTTCGGCAGCTCAAGGTGGTCTTCACCTCCCCGCGAGAGCGTCGCCGAGCCATATGCCATCCTGATCGCCACGGTCGTCGGGCAACCTACTGCCAACATCAAATGCACGCTGCCCTCGCATGCTCGACGGAGACCGTGGAAGAGGTCACGGCCGAGGAGCCCCTTGCAAATCTCGACCTCCGTTGCGTCGCACCCCCTCGCCAGGAACGCGTCCAGCTTTTCGGCCATCTTGATGGCAGCCAGCGCGCCCAGCTGTGCAACCTTGCCGTCGTCCCTCTGGATGAGCCCTCTGGATCGCGTGCAGGAGCTGCTTGTGGTCCTGGTGCTGCTGCGCCTGGCCTGCCTGCAGCGCTTGGGCGTGCGCCTGCATGGCTGCTGCGTCGCCGGCGGCGCCCGCGGCCCCCTGTCGGTCGGGCTGCCCTGGCATCTGGACCAGGCCCGCGCCCGCGCAGCTGCCACGATTGACAAAGAGGCTGGCGACACCCACGACGCTCGGGAGCGCGCCCGGGACGGAGCTCGTCACGCCGAACCGCAGGACCGTAGGTGAGACGAGACCTGGCGGCCGGTCCGCTGGCGGCGCCTGCGAGTTCGGGGATGGCGCATCATCCGCCAACGGGGCGGCGCCGGCAGGTGACGCGTCGGCGGCCTTCGAGGCTGGCGGCTGCGCCTCGAGCTGCAGCGGCCCTGCTGCAGCCGGTCGCGGCGGGATCGCTCCGGCTTGCCTGGCTACGGCCACGCGCCTGGGCCAGCTGGTCCTTCCAGCGGTCCGCGCGCATGGAGCGCGCACGTTTGTCGGGTTTGCCTTGCCAGGGCTGCAGCTTCTCACACGAGCTTGGGCAGCCCGGATCTCGCCACGGCGACCCCCATCTCCCGGGCGCCGGCGGGTGGGTGGTGGAGAAGCTCCTCGAGGAAGCCTTGTGGTAACCTGCCTGCTGCGCTGAGGGTGGGGTGCGCTTGCACTTCGTCCAGCTCCAGGGTGAAGTCGAGGCTGGCCCCATCAGGGCCGTGGGTAACTCCAGTCCAGAGCGCCTCATCCTTCTTCTCGTCGCCCTCGCGGCGCTTGCAGAGGAAGATGATCCACTGGGCGCCGCTCGCCCAGTTCACGCGGGCCCTAACGAGGAGGTGCTTCAGGTCCCCAGAGCTCAGGTCGTCGAGGTCGACGTCCCCGGGACTCGAGGCCGGCGCGGGCACCGTCGGCGACTCGAAGCGCACCGACTGGAGGCCGCCCCTGGGGGCGGGCGAACCGCGCCTGGGGGGGATGCTGTAGCCGCTGTTCTGCAGGAGCAGGACTGCTGGAACGTTGGCCCCTGGGCTTCTCCCGCCCCGCGCAACGCGCCGCCGGATGCCGGCGAGCACTCCTGCTGGGGGCGCGGCGGCTGGGGCTGAGCGCCCGGCCGCCCGTCCAGCCTCACCGCCAGGGTGGACGAGGCAGAGAGGGACTCTTGCCGACGACCCGACCGCCCGGTGGAAGCAAATGACGATCGAGCACTTGTCGCCAAGCAGCGTGGCTTTGTACACCTGCTAATGGTGCTCACAAAGGCAAGCCGTGGCGTTCTTGCCATCGGCCGGCGGCGGCAGGTCCGAGGCCTGCCCGTCCTCCCAGAGCAGCGCCACGGGGGTCGCGTCGGCTACATCGCAGCAGCCGCCTGGGGCCAGGGACCCAGGGGTCGCATCGCGCCCTTGATGAGGGCGCCGACCTTGACGGCCTCGCAGGGGCGCTCCTCGACCTCGACCTCGGATTCGGACTCCTGGTCCAAAAGCTCTGCCACTCCCCCAGCTACGCCTGGCTCCGCAGCGCCTGCCGATTTACGGCGGCGGCGTCGCCGGCGGCTGCAACGTCCGCAGCAGCATGCCAGGTAGAAGAAGCACATCAAGCTCGCGGCGAACAGGCGGGCCCCGCTGGCAAGGGCCCGCCCCGTCAGGACGCAAAACCGACAGGGGGTCAGCCGAGCATGAGCACCGATGTCGACGATGGCCGCGGAGTCGAGCGCGGCGTACTCCACGCAGTGAAGCTCCTTCTCGTCCTTGGGCTGACTCCCCACATCGGCATAGGTGCACCCGCTGGCCCTGCTCGAGTCGAATGATTCTGCTGCTCGCCCCCTTGATCTTGTTGCACTGGGCCCAGAGCCCCTTCTTGCCAACGCGCTCCGGCTCGTCAAACACAAGCCCGATCCGTGCCACATGCCCGTCGAGCTTCACGAGGAGGTCGTTCGGTTTCCTGCCGGTCCCGCTAGCGCGGACGGTCCTCTGGTAGAACGATGTCGTCGTGCTGGGGCCCGTCGCAGGTCCGGCCCAGACGACTGTGACAGGCTGTGGCGGCGCCGGCGGCAGAAGGCGATCCACCTCTGCTTCGCCTGGCGGCCTCCGCGCACAGCAGCAGCACGCACTGCAGAAGCCGGCGGCTGCTCCGATGACCCAGCAGACCCACGCGCACGGCGCGAAGATGGTCCGCAGGCTGCGCGCCGTCAGGGCGAGGATGCCGGTGCAGCTCAGGATGATGAGGGTCCAGCCGACGATGGGCCAGGCCGCGCCGAACAGGCGCACGCCACAGCTGTCGGCCAGGTGCAGGACCCAGCCGCCGTCGGAGCGCAGCCAGCCGGTGTCCTGTTGGGTCGAGAAGGCGCCTTCGAGGTTCCCGAAAGAGTGTGCCCAACCCCCCATCTCTTCGGCCTTCCAGGACCAGGTGTGGTTCCCTAGGCTCTCCCAGCTGAGATAGCCCAGGTCCCATCCCCCGATCCAGGAGGTGTCTGAAGCGTCGTTCGGGGTAGGGGGGTGGGTGGCGTCCTTCCCTGGCGGAGCGGCCGGCGGCTCGGGTGGCGCGCCGGGCGGGGCAAGCCCCGCCGGCGGCGACCCTCGCTCGCCTGGCCCTGGCTCCGCTGAGTCCTCGGAGCCCCCGATCATCGGGCTCCCCTGGTACTCCATCCGCAGGCGCGGGCTCGGGCCGATGTCGTCATGGTACGCCGGCCCGTAGTCCCACTGCGCCTGGGGGAATGGCCAGTTAACCCGCGGCTGTGGTCGGCAGCGTGGCGGTCAGCAAGGCCGCGCGGCAGGGGGTGCCCAGCGCCGCGCGGCGCCGCCCTCCTCCTCGCCCGTGCTCGGCCGCGGCCGGTGGCGGCAGCGCCGCCGCCCCCGAGCCGCGGGGCGCCCCGCACGGCGGCATGGCCCGGCCGCGCGTGAGCACTCCCGGGACCCCGGGATCTTCCGGGCTCCCGGAGTGGGCCTCCGGGATGCCCTGGCCTCTGGGCCACCTGAGGCCGGCCCCCAGCTTGACCCAGAAAGCTTGAGCGGGGGCGAAAGCAGAGGAGGAAAGCCGAGAGGAAAGAGAAAGGACAGAGGAAAACGGGTCCCCGCATTCCTGGGGTCAGGGAGAGCCTAGCGTTTAAACCAAACAACTAAGCCTGCCGGTCGAAGGGTCGTGCCGACGTCACGAACTGCTGAAACTTATGTCAATACTGTGTTGCCTTTTGTCAATGGGCGCGGATCCAAGGGCACTGCGCGAATCGATTCATTGCCGATGCTGTCAATCACTTTGTAGTACTGGCAACCAACCAGGAACTCGCGGCAACTCTTCCCAAACCTTCTGGAAACCGTCTCTCCTAGTTACTATTTGATGGCATCTGAAACTGTTAGTGGTATGCCGTCGCTCGTCCCCGATCTTATCGCGAGGCTTTGACAGTCTCCCCAGGCCTTACCCAACAATCCATTTTTGAGAACCTCCAAACCGATACATATGATTTTGTGTGAATGGCGTTCTTCGTTCTTGTCTAGTGCGCGGCCGCACGCAGCGGCTCTGGCAATCAACTGGAAGACGCCCATGCTGCATTGGGCCAGAGAGGCTACGGATGATGATGATGATGATGATGATGATGATGATGATGATGATGATGATGATGATGATAATGATGATAATGATGATGATGATAATGATGATGATGATGATGATGATGATGATGATGATGATGATGATGATGATGATGACGGCACATTCGGCACACCCCACACGGTTGCGCACGACACCCGCACACACCCGCCCGACCCGTTCGGCACACCCCCCACACGGTTCGTGGCTGATAGCGATGTTCACGGCTGATGGTGTGCACGGTGCATGCTGGTAATGATGATGATGATGATGATGATGATGATGATGATGATGATGATGATGATGATGATGATGATGATGATGCTGATGCTGATGCTGATGCTGATGCTGATGCTGATGCTGCTGCTGATGATGATGATGCTGATGATGATGCTGATGATGATGCTGATGATGATGATGATGATGATGATGATGATGATGATGATGATGATGATGATGATGACGATGACTGTGTCGACGATGACGACATTGGCACTGGGATAACACGCCAGACCTCCACGCCGAGAAATCTGGTAATCGCATAGGTCTGGGTGCTATCCGTCAGCTCCTGATCCTGGAGCGCGCCACATCGCTCTGCAGCCGCCGCGGGGCCTGCCAGACCCGGTACGGTGTTCCGCACAAGATTCGTCGATGCTGGCCGCCAGCCCGGCAAGGTAGCAGGGGCGCGCGGGCCGGCCGGCCGGCGGGCGGGCGGGCGCTGAGCAGGGCACCGAGCGGCGACTGGAGAGCGTGTTGTTTATCACCCACTACTGTCTTCCGAACTGTCCTGCCTAACTTTTCCGAGCCCCAAAGCCGTGTGGGAAGGGGCCACGTGGTGACCTCAGAATACCCACCGACCTCACCGCGCGGTCCGTCACCACACGGTTTTGAAACCCTGGAGGCCCCAATCGTCCGAGACACCCTCCGAGAACGACCTGGGTCCCAAAACCGCGCGGTGACCCCGAATCTTCACGGACTCACCGCGCGGTGTGAATACCACACTTTTTGGGGGGCCCCGAAATTTCGGGGGCGCTTCGAGGGGGCAAGTGAGAGGGGGGGGCAGGCCTTCAAGGCGGCGGGGTTTCTCAGAGGACCTGAGGCCTTCTGAAGAGCCTTCTTCTGCAGCTTCGAAGACTGCTTGGAACGCTTCCCGGGAGGCCAAAGGTCTTCTGAGCATTCTGCGAAGGCCCGACCCCCTGCCTTCCCCCCTGGGCGCGCCGCCGACAACTGGAAGCATCCCCTGGCCCGCCACCACCCATTGCTTTCGCTGGCGCCTTCGCACCCTACCTCCCACCCTTTGGGAAATCTCTGGGAAACAAGTCCCTGTAACACCGGCGTACCATGGCGGCCGCTGGGAGTTCCACCCGTTTACCATCATTGGGGAAGTCTACGGTCAAGCAGGAAGTGGAACCAGGAACGGTCCGGGATGAGCCAACATACGAGCGCACACGCAATCACTTTGGCGATCGCGGCCTCGCGCGCAGCGTCGAGGCGGAGCAAGTCGAGCAGACGGCACAGAGCTGACACGCGCTGCTGGGCCCTCAGACGCAGGACCGCATTGTTGGATCGACCGCACATGCCACCCGGGCAGTGTGGGGAGATAGAAAATGGAGACAGCGTCCGGAAACGGGGACGGCAGCAACGAGTGGGGAGCCACCAACTGCGAGAAGCTGCAGGAGGAGGTGCGCGAAGCTGCGCATGGCTAGCGCTGAGAGCAAGGAGAAGTGCGGCTCGACCGCGAGAGGTCCCTGGAGGGAGCCCGCTTCTGCGAGCTTGCGTCTCCGGCTGAGACATGCGCGCCCGGATGCTTGAACCGGGATGGAAGCTGGACCAGGAAGGTGCTCAGCTGGTCGTCGGTGTAGGAGGTAGGGGTCGGGCATGGGCTCCGCGCCGTCACCTGCACACGGCCCGTTGGCGATGACCCAGTCGTCCCAGAGATGGGCACCCTGGGCAGCGTGAGGAGCCCCGTCCGCGAACAAGGCCGAAACGCGGTTGATGAGGCTCGCCCAGAAGACCAAAAGCGCCCGAGCTCACCAGGAGTTGGCCCGCGGGCCTAGCGAGGGGCCGCTGGTTGGGCGGAGGGGCCATCACAGGGGCGCTGCGAACCCATCACGGGGGCGCTGCGAACCCCGCCGGATCGTGCTCTGGCCTGGGGTCGGCTACACACAAAAGCGACCCCAGGCAAGAATGATATTTGGTGCGCGGCCGCACGGGGAACGCGGGGTGGCCAAACCTGAGCGCGCAAGCCGCTGCTACCCCTTCGCGTTTAACGATCGGGAGACCCCGTTGGGCCCGCACCAAAGGTCAATCCGGCGAAAGATCACGCCCTGAGATCCTGGCGTCCCAATTTTTTCGAGCCTGGCGGTTTCGCTCAATTTCGGACCCCGGGACCCTCGCAGATCGATCTGGTTTAAAAATGGTGTCAAGGGTTCTGGGCGTGATGTTTTACGATGTTGCATTTTTCTGCAAAGTCGGCGATCGGGGCTCAAGCGTCTACTCGACGGGGGTGGGACAAGGGCCGGCACCGATTGAACCCCTGGCGCGGGGAAACCCACGGCGAGGAGGAGTGCCAGTCCTGAATGAAGAATGAATCAGACCCCTGGGTGGGTCGGGAGCGCGTGTCTGGAAACAGTTTGTGAGGAAATCCCAAGCGAGAGCGCGTGGGCCCCAGGCTATGACATCGAAATCCCGCCGAGTGTGCGCCCGAATCCAAGCGGTCGTGGTCTACCCGATCCTAGCGATAAAATTGTCACAACGCGAACCACAATTGTGACCAAAACTTGTCCTGGTCACGGACTGAACCTGGTCACGGTTCTGGTTCGGGTCGATGGGCATTACTAGTATGATTATACTAGTAATGCAAACCGAACCACGAGTGTGACCAGGACTGGTCCTGGTCACGGTTCTGGTTCGTGTCGAGTGGAGTCACCAATATTCTTATAACACTAATGCAACCCGAACCAGAACTGTGACCAGGACTGGACCTGGTCACGGTTCTGCTTCGGGCCCATTGGCATAAGTTCTATTCTAACAAGTTTAGCGCAACCCAAACCACAACTGTGAGCAGGACTGGTCCTGGTCACGGTTCTGGTTGGGCCGATGAGCATTAATAATATTCTAATAATGTTAATGCAAACCGAACCAGAACTGCGACCAGGACTGGTCCTGGTCACGGTTCTGGTTCGGGTCGGATGGCATGAGTAAACTTGCAAGAATATCCATGCAACCCGAACCACAACTGTGATCAGGATTCGTCCTGGTCACGGTTCTGCGTCGGGTCGGTTGGCATTGACACAATTCTAAGATAATTAACGCCACCCGAACCACGGGTGTGACCAGGACTTGTCCTGGTCACGGTTCTGGTTCGTACCGAGTAGAGTTACCAAGATTATTTAAATAGTCATGCAACCCGAACCAGAACTGTGCCCAGGACTGGACCTGGTCACGGTTCTGCTTCGGGCCCATTGGCATACGTTTTATTCCAACAAGTTTAGCGCAACCCAAACTACAACTGTGAGCAGGACTGGTCCTGGTCACGGTTCTGGTTGGGCCGATGAGCATTAATAATATTCTAATAATGTTAATGCAAACCGAACCAGAACTGCGACCAGGACTGGTCCTGGTCACGGTTCTGGTTCGGGTCGGATGGCATGAATAAACTTGCAAGAATATCCATGCAACCCGAACCACAACTGTGATAAGGACTCGTCCTGGTCACGGTTCTGGTTCGGATTGGTTGACATTGACACTATTCTAAGATAATTAACGTCACCCGAACCACAAGGGTGACCAAGACTGGTCCTGGTCACGGTTCTGGTTCGGGTCGATGTGAATAAATAATGCTATACCAATATTGATGCAACCCGAACCACCACTGTGACCAGGACTTGTTCTGGTCATGGTTCCGGTGTGGTCGCAATATTCTGAACGTGTTCGAATAGTGCGTCCTGACCAGGACCACAACCAAGACTGGTCATGGTCACAGTCATGGTTCTGGGGCATTGGTACTATTATATTACTATTAGTGCACGGCAACCATGACAGGGACTGGTCCAGGTATTGTGCGAGCCGCATCAATGTACAATCGTTGAATAATGCGCATCGTAACTGTGACTAGTTCTGGTCTGAGTCTGGTTCTGTCATTATTCGAAAGATCGAATAATGCCAACCTCTACCAAAACCAACACTTGAACCTTACTGTCCTCTTCCTCATCGTTTTACGCGAACCAAACCTTAGGGTAAGTAACCTGTGGCGTTCTGCCCCTCCTCCTCCTCCTCCTCCTCGTCCTCCTCCTCATCCTCCTGCTGCTCCTCCTGCTGCTGCTGCTCCTCTTCCTCCTCCTCCTCTTCCTCCTCCTCCTCCTCGTTCTCCTCATCCTCCTCCTCATCATCCTCCTCCTCATCCTGCCCCTCCTACCTCGTGTTCATGTTCATCCTCCTCCACCAGCCTTCTGGGAAGGCAGAGCGTCTTGTCGAAGGGATCGGCCCCTGCAAAGCCACACGCCCCCCATACGTCTTGAGAGGTACGAGGCCTTCGTAGAAGGCATTCTCACACAACTCCTTAGCCGAGCAATGCCAACGCGTGTTGTTCCGATGTGTGTTCTCTTACGATTCAGGGTCTGGGCCTGTCTATGTTATCGATAGAAGGCGCGATCAAACAGCACGCAGGCACACGATCTGTCAGGAACCGAAAACTCGCATCAGGGTTGGCCACCCTCCCCAGCAAAAGTTGCTGGTCGCTTTGCTGCCAGGAACCAAGCAAACCATCTGGACAGAGCGGAGCGGAGCATCCAGCGTAAACTCCAACATGTTAAACTATCGCGTCGATGCGATCGCCAGGGCTGGTTAAAAAGGTCGCGCCAATGCAATCGCAAAGGCTGCTTACAGACTTGGTGACCAGGAGGTAAATCTCTAGAAAGACAAAGAGAGGGAGAGAGAGAGAGAGAGAAAACAAAACAAAGAGAGATATACTAAATAATACAGAAGCAACAAACACACAGAAACAACAAACGCACACAAAACCAACCATTTCAAAAGAGGGCGGAAGGGGAGGGGGAGAGGGAGAGGGTGAGGGAGAGAGAAATAAAGAGGGAGAGAGAGAGAGAGGGAGAGAAAGAGAGAGAGAGAGAGAGACAGACAGACAGACAGACAGCGTGAGAGAGGGAGAGAGGCGAGAAAGGGACGGAGAAAGAAAGAGAGAGGAGAGAGAAAGAGAGAGAGAGAGAGAGAGGGAGAGGGAAAGAGAGAGAGAGAGAGAGAGAAAGAGACAGAGAGATAGAGAGAGAGGGAGGGAGAGAGAGAGAGAGAGAGAGAGAGAGCACGAACAAAACAAAACAGATCGGACAGTCTGGGCGGCGCTCCGTCCACGGGCTGGCGGGCGCGCGCGCCGCGCCCGAAGCGCGCTGGCCGGTGCTGTCGGCTAAATTGGGGCCCTTCGTACCCATCTTGGGCACACAGCCAGGGGGGAAAAGGGAGAGAGATGCGAGGGGGGCCTTCCACGAGCGAGCATAAGGTGGGCCGTGACCCTGCAGCGCAGCTATCCGAGCCCACCAGGTTGGGTAAAGCGAGGCCTGCACCCGTCCCTAGCATGACGGTGCTGGAAGTGACGGCATCCATCCAGCACCCAGTCAGGACCCGCGGTGAGGATGGCCGCAGTGGGCGCTTGCCAGGCGGCGCACGGGCCTCGAAGTGAGGGAGAAGGCTAGCTGGGCCTTCGCACGAAAAGAACTTGGGCCGAAGGGGCGAGCGATGCCTGAATCTGGACAGTGGTGTGGAGTTCACGCAGCGCCTTAAGGTGCTGTCGCGTCGTGCGGCGGACGTGGTCGGAAGAGGCCTGAACTAACGTGCTCGAGCTGGCGCTCGAGCTGGGTCAGGCGGTCTGAACCTGGGCCTGCACGGCTCGCCCCTGCGACGGGGGGGGGGCCGGCGCTGCCGTCTGGGCGGCGTGCCAGGCCATGCGCGCGACGGGCGCGATTCCCCAGCACTAGGCCTGAGCCCGAGCGGGGGGCGGGGCCCGGAAAGCGCGGGGCGCGCCCGAGGCGGCCAATGTCCTCGTGGCGAAGGAAGACCAGAGCCACAGGGCGAGGCAGGCCAAAGCCCACCACGGCGAGGTGCCGCGCCACTGGCGGGACGAGGATCAATGCCACCATATTCGGCCAGTCGTTGGAAGAAGTGGTCGGAGTCAGTGGCCGGCAGCCAGACGCCCGCGCCCAGGCTTCAGAAGTCATGCCCGCGCGGGAGGGTGATGCGCGGTGGCGGCAGTAAGGGGCCGTATAGTGTGGCCATTTCACTCCAGCTGCCTGGTCGGGGGGCACCGGATGCTGCGCGTGGATGCGGGTTCAGGGGCACCGCGCTGCGAGCTGGTCCGGCAGGCGCGACTGCGCGGCGAGCCGCAGGGACAGAGGTGGCCCCGCCCCTCAAGGCTGAGCCTGGGAGGTGGCGCGGCAGGTTCGCAGCGTCGGCGCCCGGCGGCTGGTGGCCGTAGTGGACTTGGCCAGGGGGTTGCGGCCCTGGGGTCGGCAGGGAGCGATTGACCTCGTTACCTGCGTCGCTGTAGTGACCCCACGCGGCGGCCGAGCCAGCCCCGCGGCGTCTGCGACGGTGGGGCGGTGGGCCGTGCTGCGCCGTTCCCGCCAAGTCGTCGCCTGGGGGGTTAAGCGTGGCGGTGCCAGGTGGTGGGTCTAGGGGGTGGCCCGCGCTGGAGTGGTCAGAGCAATTTGACCCGTCGAAGGGCGCGCCTGAACCAGTGGTGCTCATCGAGAGAGAACATAAGAGCCGTGCGTCGCCCCGCCGTTGCGGAGCCGGGCCACGCAGGGGCGCCGCTTCTGGGCCCGGTGCATCGCGCGCTGTCGGGAACGGTGGGGCCGCGGGCTGCTGGAACACCCCGGCGGGTTGAAGGCGCCCTTGGTAGCCTGGTTGGGGGTCGAGACGGTCCAAATGAGCGCCCATAGCGTCGCGGCGTGCATCGTTCATCTGCTGGATAGCACGGCTTAGGGCGTGGCCCGAGAGCGCGGCGATGCGTCGGTGACGGTCGCGGCGCCCTTGGTCGCCCCGATCCCGAGCTCCTTCGCGGATTTCTTCTGCGCGGCGCCTCTGGAGGTCGAGCACCTCCCAGGGCGGCAAGTCCATGTGGAGTCCTACGAAGGTCGCCCTTTGGAGGGCGCGGAGGACCTCCTCGACGCAATACATGAGCCATATTTGCTTGCATCTGTCTGGGTCGCAGAGGTCTGGCAGCCACTGGGTGGCGACGCAGGCGAGGTGGTCGATCCATCATGCCCTGGCCTTCAGAGCGCGTTGGGTCGGAGGGCCGTTGCCGCTCGTGGCCCGCAGTGGGAGATCGGATATGGGCACTTGTCATCGAAAGGCGCAAGGGGGTCGGCATCCGCTTCCGCCCATGGGCGGGCTTCCAGTCGCCCGAGTTGAGCGCCAGTGCGACCTGCTCGTCGATGGGGCAGTGGCCGCGCGTGCGTTTGTCGAAGATAATGGCCGCGGCGGCGTGGAGGGCCACGGCAAGTCTGAAACGTTTCTTGGCGTCTTCGCAAAGCGCCTCTGGCACCGCGCGGAGCGCCGCCGCCCCCGCGGCCAGTTCGCGGGCCCTCCCGTTGAACTAGTCTGCGGTGGTCGAGAGCAGCCCGGCACCGACCCCCTCTTCGCCCCGGTGGCTAGTGACTCTTTCCACTCGGAAAACTTCACGCCGGAAGTGGACTGCCCGATGCACTCGCTTCCAGGTCTGCTTGCCAACTCTTGTTACGGGGTTGGGCTCCGCTGAGCAGAAGCCCAAAGTGTCGTGAACAGTCTGATTGTCCGCGAAGATGTGGACTGGTCTTTCAGCGGTAGACACCACGTGGGAGAGGGCTAGGGTCTCAACGCGCTGAGCGGACTGAGCCAGCCTGTGGACTCTGGCAGAATGGTTTAGACGGTGGTCTGTCTCGTAGAGGACGCCGAAACCTGCCCGCGCCAACAACGGGCGGGCACGGTGCGAGCAGGCCCCGTCCGCGGTCGCATAGACCCATCGAGCGCAGTCTGAGTCGGCGAATTCGCGCCGAGCGTCCCGATGGAGGTCCAGCGGGGGCCGCGGGGCAAGGGCCTCTAGCTGGCGCAGGGAGTCTATGTTGTTCGAGGGCGACATGATCAGCCACCCCGTCTTCGGGCACGACTCTGGGGAGGGCGTGTCTGGCGTGGAAGGTGGCGGTGGTGCCGTGCTTAGATAGCTTGTGCCGACTTGAGGCGGCACCAGAACCAGCCACGCGTTGAACGCGCGCGTGGAAGGCGCGCGCCGCGTCGCTGGCGATCCTGAACATGGTGTTGGGGTCGTCGGCGCCCTCCGCCGTCTATATGGCGTCTGAGTGCGCCCTTTCGATGTCTTCGACCAGTTCCTGCATCTCTTGCCACGGGGTATGATCGGGCAACGGAGGGTATGATTTGGTGCGTGTGAGGCGAAGGTTTTTCCCCAGGTCGAGGCCCAACGTGGCTTTGAGGCCCACATGTTGGGAGGTCGGGAGGTCGCGCAGGATGGTACGAGTCAGTAACAAGGTGGCGAGCCTCATGGTTGGCGAGCTCATAATCGATGCGGGAGGTTCCTGGTTCGATCGTGCGCTTATCCCAGCCTTCTATTCACGCTCTCCTGGGTATCCTGCTGATACGTTGGACCAGCCAAGACGAAGGGCGTCCTGACGGATCGACGAGTGGTCGATGTCGGCGTTAGCGCCTACGTATAGAACATACGGCGTTGCGCCGACACGCGGGGCGGCCGCAAAGGCCAGGCGGAACAGGCCCGAGTTGTCTTTGCCCGCTTCAGCGTACAGGGATTCGAGGTATAAGCCCGTGGTGGTCTGCCCGTGGATCGTGCGCGGGACGGGGCACGGAATGTAGCCTTCCACCCAGCGTGCCGTCTGCATGAGCTGGGCTACTGCAGGGTCGTCGGTACAGGTGTCCATGAGGGCTCCTTGCGCGGCTATGGTGGTACCTCTTTGGCGGGAGGATGTGGACCGCTGGGGGTGATGAGTGACTCCCCGTCGACCATGCCGAAGGACGAATTGGTCATTCGGAAATTTGCTGAGAATGGGGTTCCAACTGCCGCGTTCCGTTGCTCTGAAGCAAGAGTGGAACGTGGTGCGGCGGGCTTCAGGGTGGCGGGGTTCCTGAAGGCACATCGCCGATACGGTGTGGTCTCTAAGATGCGTGCAGAGTTCCCAGTGGGCGTCCAGGTAAGTGAGCACTCACGAAGTGAAACGTCCGTGGACCATCACCGTCCATGGAGGCTGGATCAGCTCGCTGGTGGGGGCCCCTTATGAGATCGCGTCACGATCGAGAGTGGATGTTGCTTTGTGCCCCTTTGGAGGGCTTAGCTGAGCTAGCCGCCTGAAGGGCATGAGTGGCAAGCGGGAGGTGAGCGCGGAGGAGAGGAGAAAAACAGAAAGAGAGAGAGAGAGAGGCGGTAGGAAGGCATTGAAGAGCGCAAGAGTGCGGAAAGTCAGCTGCGGGGACTGCCACGCCCTCTGTACGCCCCCCACGCCTACCTTGACAAAACACAGGCCAAGTATGGGGCACGGTTGGCTCGCGCCGCCACGGAAAATCTCCACTTGGACCGCTGGCATCCCCAAGAGTGCGTACTTGGACGGCTGGCATCCACAAGAGTACAAGTTCGACAACCTGCCGCTCTCAAACGAGCTCCCCGAAGAGGCCTATTCCGCCTGATTGGGAGGGTACGGGACACCGTCCGGTGGCGCCCCTTGTGGGCGCCTCTCCAGACGGGCGCCGTCTCAGCCACTGGGCCGAACTCAACGGGACAGACTAAGACACCTTGTCCCCAGAGCGAAGGCGGCACTCGACGAAGTCAAAGCATGAGAAACTTCAGACGTCAGTGTGGATTCCTTCGATCGGCGCTGGACCCCAAGCCCTGGCGCTTGGAGCGCCCCAGGTGCGGCGCCAGAGGCGCCGTCAGGGGGGCCCAGCGCCGATCCGAGAAATGCGCGCGGACATCCGAAAGTTTGGCGCTCTTCTCCGTGATCGCTCCGCCCAGCGGCCTCGTCGCCAACTCGTCATCATCTCCTGCCGTCTGCGTGGGGCCCGAGCAGGCCCGGACTGACGCCCTCGGCAATCAGCCTTTCGACGGCATGCGACGACCTGGTGCGATGCGGCTCGGGGACCTTCTCCACAGCGCGGGGCGAGAGCCGCCGGAGGCCGACGTTGCCGTACCTTGAGGGGCAACGATAGGCCCGCAGATCCAGGCGTTACATTTTTTTCACACCGAGCGGTTTCGCCCGATGTCGGGCCTGGGGGGCCTCACAGATCGATCCTGTTCGAAAAATGGCGCAGGAAGATGGTGTCTGGGATTCTGGTCGTGATTTCACGTTGCAACTGTTCCGCAGCTTCGGATCTCAGAGGGGGGGGGCTGGTTCAGGGGGGGGGGGACCTTGGATGCTCATTCTGGGGACCTTCCTGGAGCCACTCGCTCCACTCGTGCGTCGAAGCTGCGTCGAACGTCCGTCGATGCGAGTCGACCTTGACTCGAACCTGAGTCGAACCTGGGTCGCTGGGTGGGCCGCAGGCATCCGAGGGAACATCGGCCCGGAGCCGACGAGACGCGGCCGACAGACCGGCGACAGGCCCCCCATGGCGAGGCCGGCCCTGGGCGGGGTGGGCGAGGGTCGATGCGCCCCCCCGGGGAGCCCATCCCACCCTGACGTTGCCCCTGAGACGCGCGCACTGACCACCTGCCAGACCACCCAAACCCAACCCGAAAACCCGAATTTCGGGTTGAGGGGAGGTTAGGGCTTCATACGTGTGTTTTCGATGATCCCCGACCCCCCTCCACACTGGAGATGGAGGGCAAATCGGGACCTTCGGGTTGGGTAGGGGTGGTTCGGTGGGCGGTGAAGCATGTCGTCATCTGTTCCTCTGGCGACCCCCGCCAGCGCTCCCGCGTGGCGCGCGCCCCGGCTCTGAGCCTCCTCGGCGCCGAACGCCCGCTGCAAACGTCACACGAAGACTGGACCGTCAAAATCCAGGACGCGCTCGTCCCCCCCGAGTCATCCCCCCCTAGTGTTGCCCCCGATACCTCCTCTTCACCCGGGTCATCGACTTCTTGCTCCAGATCTGCAGCGCCACCCCGTCCTGAGAGGAAGAGAAAGCGGCCCAAACATAAGCTCTCGGAGGTCCGCGCGGGCCTCCGCAAGATTATGCTCATGCCGTCCTATTCTGCTGGGGTCCTGCTCAATGAATTCCCCCTCCGCCTCCGTCGCCGCGGCCCACTGCGGCGGCGCGGCCCGCGAGTACGCGTCCCAACTGTTGAACTCGCGGAGCGTCCCGTCATCCTGGAACTCGACCACGCGAGTGGCGAACTCGCGGAGGAAGAAGCGGTCGTGGCTGACAACCAGGGCGCCGCCATCGAACTTCTTGAGAGCATCCTCCAGCAGCTCCCGCGTTGCGATGTCCAGGTGGTTCGTCGGCTCGTCCAGCACGAGAAGGGCGCACGGGTCGAGCAAGAACTGCGCGAAGGCCACCCGCGCCTTCTCGCCGCCGCTGAGGCTGCACACGGGCTGGTTTGCGGTTATACCGGTCAGCTGCAGGCTCGTCAGCACGCTGTCGATGCCGCCCGCACGCTCGAGGTCGCCAACCTTGCAGGACATGAAGAGCACGTCCTTCACCGTCTGCTTTTCGGAGTTAAAAGCCTCCGCCAGCCTCTGCGGGAAGTAGGCCATGCCCATGTCAGTGCAAGTGAAATCGCCGCGAACGAAGGACTCCTCGCCCAAATCGCCCATGATGGCGCGCACCAGCGTGCTCTTGCCGCAACCGTTCGGGCCTACCAGCGCCACCTTCTCGCCCCTGCGCACCGTCAGGGAGACGCTGTCGAGCACGACCTGTTGGGAAACATGTAAGGATACCGATGCCGCTACTCCGCAGACATCTCCAGGGGTGCGTTCTGACCAGGCCTTCGAGGCGAATCCAGCCGTGGCGACGAGGGAAGGGTAACAGCATCGGTAGTAGAGGAGCCAAAACTGACTGCCAGCCTGGACCCAAAATAGTGAATCATTGCACTGTGGGTGTGTAAGCTGTGCAGTGCAAGCTATGCAGTGCAATATCAGTGGTGTAAGCTATGCGGTGCAGGCTTCTTGTTTGGAGGAGGAGGAAAGCTGAGGGGAATAGTAGCGCGAAACACTATGCTGAATGATTGCCCAAGCCAAGTCAGCAGGATCTCCTGGGAGCGCGACCAAAACTCCGCCGATCGATATCGGCCGCGCGGAAGCTATTCGGTGCAAGCTATGTGATACACGCTATGTGGTGTAAGCTGTGGTAGAAACTATGTGGTACAAGTTTTGTGACGAGTGCTATGTTGTGCAGGCTGCGCGGTGCAATATGAGTGGTGCAAGCTGTGTAATGTAAGATCTGTTGTGCAAGCTATGTGCTGTAGGTAAGGTGGTTTTGTTTTAGCTATGTAGTAAACAATGTACGTACGCACACGATGAAGAGCATAAAATCGTCAACTCCACTGCTAGTGCAAACATCCCAACCGCCCACCGGCAACTGTTTGGCAACTATCATCTGGCCATGATCGGAACGAGCGCACGGGCGCGTGGAACTCAACCGCGCAGACAACTCCGTCTTGCAGGTCGCGAAATAACGGTAGACATGGTGACGGCCGCGACGCCAACGACGTCGGCGATGACAGTGGCGATGACGCCGACGCCGATGGTGACGACAGTGATGATGGGCACGGTACGATGTCGACGACGACTATGCTGATGGCGGCCTGATGGTGGTCATGATGGCAGTGCCAATGATGACGCTGTCGATGAAGATGACGGTAGTGTCTGGTAATGGTGATGGTGATGATGATGGTAATGATGATGATAATGATGGGAGGGGGGGGAGGAGGAGGAGAAGGAGATGGAGGAGGAATTGCCCGCACGAAGAAATTCGACGAGGCGACGACATCGACGATGGCGATGACGACGGCGGCGCTGATGTTGATGATGACGACGACGATGATGACAGTAGTGACGATGATGATTATGATGATTACAACGATGTTGATGACGATGCCATTGATGATGATGATGATGATGATGATGATGATGATGATGATGATGCTGGTAATGATGATGATGATGATGATGATGATGATGATGACCATGATGATGATGATGATGATGATGATGATGATAATGAGGATGATGATGATGATGATGATGATGATGATGATGATGATGATGATGATGATGATGATGGTGGTGACGATGATGATGACTTGTATTATGGTGATGGTGATGATGGCGATGGCGATGACGATGGCAAAGATGACGCTGACGATGACTGTCAATGTTAACGATTGTCATGGTGAGGATGGTGAGGAAGCCAGCGCCCGCACAAGTTTCGAAACCCTGACACAGCTTGATTGGCAAGCCTTTGGTTGTTGTTTGGGTTCGAACACGTCTGTGCTGAAGTGGTTGGCCCGAGCAATGTTTGGAAGGAGTTCCGACGTGCGGACACGCGCGCTCGAAGCCCGCATGGTATGATGTGACGGAGTCGTTGGGGCGCGCGCTAATGGGTGAACGTGTTCGCCATGTGCGCGCGGGTGGCCCGCATGTTCTATTTTGACATGGTTGCTTCAAACCCATGGTCCCCTGATGAATTCAAATATTTTTGCTGAGCGCAAAAAACTCGGTGGAATTCATCAAGGAACCGTCTTACATCCGCACAGGGGCATCGCGTAATCTCTGTTGCAGGAGGTGGCGGGGGGTACCGATGCCAATCTGGCTGGGACGTTCTCCGACATTCAGAGCGAACGAACGTGCGGAATGCATACGAAAAAGCAATACGCTGAGGGGGGCGATCACCCCGTCCGCGGCGTTCGGGCAATCGGACAGAAGAACATCCATCAAGAGCATGAGACCCTCCGCCGGCTAAAACTCATAGAACAGACAAGGGCCCCCTCCCAAGGATGCACAAGAACATCCAACACACACGAAGAACGTTAGGGTATCCTCCACGAACCGACCTCGATCTTATACATCGGGCCGACCGTAGAGTTTGATGTTCTAGGAGAAGGAATCGATGCGGCAGCCCAACGCACGTAGCGCCTGCGAGGCGCCCACGGGCAGGCACCAGGCGAAACCTCGGTACACCCACCCAGCACACGAGGCGCCCACGAGGCGCACACGAGCGCGTCCACGGGCGGGCACCAAGCGAAACCTCGGCACACCCACCACATGGCGTGCTGGCGGCCACCTGAGCGACGATCAAAAACGAACCGTACGCGAGATGGCACAGCGACCTTACGCGGTGCTTTACGCGGGCCGCCAGCGCGGGACGTTCCTTTGGAGTCGAGGGCGCTCACGCAAGACCTTTTGCAGGCAGCTTACGCGCCAATGTCGGTGAAATCGACCCCGTTCTCCTGCGTCGCGCACATGCTGTGTCGGCGGCCATTTGGGTCCAACCAGCAGCGAGGCAACGGTGAGACGCAGCGAAGCTAGTCGCCGCGCGGGGCGGGGAGAGAGCGGGTGAGGGGGGAGAAAGCACATGCGGCGGGAGGGGCCCTCAGAACGCGAAGTTGTTCGGGAGGCGCCCGGGAGGTCGTACTCGTAGAGCGGCGGGAAGACGCACCATGGGAGGCGTGCGTCCGACCCGCACATACGGTATAGTACAACAAGATTGTAGTACTTATCACACTTCCCGAGCGGTCTGGCCAGAAAGGGCCCGCCACGCAGCGTATACTATGAGATTTCTCGGTGCGCGCGTTGCCCCTTCGAGGGGCGACGCACACATAGTACTAGTATGTCCGGATGACGGCGACACCAGGGTACGAGGGCGTTGCACGGTCCAGCGAGGTCAAGGTGACGGATCCGTAGGAGGGGAATCTGACGGGCAGGCGAGGGTGTACAAAGGTTGCGCAGACAGCCCGGGAAGGTCCAGGTGACCCGCATGCCAAGGGCGGGCCACCAGGTGACGGTGCGCAGAGCGCAGAACAGAGCCTCAACAACCCAAGACAAGGCGCCCACTAGGCGCCCACGGGACGCTCACGGGCGCCCAACAGCCGGGCGCCAGCCGAAAACCCAGCACACCCAATCAAATGCCTCAAGCAGTCCAAGTAAGAACCCCTAAGTGCAAGCGGAGCTATGCGAGAACCTTGGATCGGTGCTGAGGGGGTCCACCATTCCACCGCCGATCCAAGAAATCCGCGCGGACCTCCGAATGTATGCTCACGCCGCTTCTTCTGCTCCGAAAAATATCACCCCTGAACATTAAGCGGACGAAGAACGGTATCAAAACAACTTGTCCGCAATCGGGGACTGATACACGCTGACGTGCCACCGTAGGGACATTATTCCATACTGTTCGCCATCCGCTACGGTGGGTGCGTTGGTTGAGGAATGTGCCCAGGAGGCTTGGGAGGACTCCTTATCTGAAGGGGGCGGCGATGGTATCTATGACCAAGCCTCAACTGGAGTTCCACCGCCTTCCAGCCCCTGGATCCCTTATCCAATGCCTCACTGAATCCCACCAGCCCTCTGGGCGTAGGTGGTCTAGAACAGATCCTCTTCCACCCCTCCCTCTTCCCCCTTGGGGAGGGGTTTACCCCTCCCCCTACCCCCTCCCCTGGACCTGGACGGGGGGGGCCGCTGGTAGTTAGAGCGTCCCAGATGGCCCAAGACGGCTCCAAGAGCGCCTCAGAGAACCCAAGATGAGCTCCAAGATGGCTCAAGATAGCGCAAGATCGCTCGAGATGGCTCCTAAGATGGTTCCAAGAAGCCCAAAGACGGCCCCAAGATAACTCCAAGTGGCCAAACAGCTCCCCAAGGAGGCCCCGAAGAGGCCAAAATCGTCCCAAAACCTAAGGAAAATCAATGATTTTTGCTTTCTCGCCTTTTCGCTTCCGATGGCCATCCGAGGCCTGGAGATGGTTCCAAGATGGCCCAAGAGGGCCCCAAGAGAGCCCCAAAAGAGCCCCAAGACGGCCCCAAGAGCGCCCAAGAGCACTCCAAGAGCGTTCCAAGAGGGGTCCAAGAGGCGATTTTAGGGGCTTCCGAGGGGGGACGCTAATTAAACCCCCCCTCTTGTTTGATCGATCTCCTCCAAGATGGCCCCAAGAAGCGCCCAGGAAGCCCCAAGAGGTCCCAAGATGGCCCCAAAATGGCCCCAAGAGGCCCCCAAGAGGCCCCCCGGAGGCCCCCAAGAGACCCCCAAGAGGCCCCAAGAGCCCCCCCAGATGCACCCAAGATGCTCCAAGAGGCCTCGGCGAGAATGCCTAATCATTGATTCTACACAGGTTTTAGCCACATGGAGGCCTCTTGGGGGGGGGCACGGATTAAGATGACTCCAAGAGCGTCTGGGAGAGCCCAAAATGACCTCCAAGATGGCTCAAGATATCCCAAGATGTCTCATAATGGCTTCCTCTGTGTGCTGCCCACTTCTCTGATCGAGGCAATTCCTCTGGGCATCGTTTCTGGATGGGCTGGTGGGGATTCGCGAAGCGACAACAATTCCTCCCCCGAGCCTTGTCGGAGTACCTGACACCGCACTCCCGCACCTCGAGCAGCACCTCCCCCAGCTCCTGCTGAGGGGCGGGGGCCGCCTCTGGGGAAGCCAAAAGGCACCCGCACCGCTGCTCCCCAGACCTCTCCCGGGGTTCGTTATGACTAGGATCTAGAGGCGAATCCAGCCGTGGCGACGAGGGCCCCCAAGCCGAAAAAGACCCAAGGGTAGCGGTATCGGTTGGAGGCGGCCAGGCGGTCTGAGCTGGTCGGGCCTGGAGAAAATCGGTCAAGAGGGGAGGGGGGGGATGAAGGCAAGTCCACTCAAAATCGGTTCCTGGATCCCTCGCCAGGTTCATCTGGGGTTAATTTTCACCCCGGGTCCGTTTTAGACGGTCCCCGAGCCTGAAACCTTCTCGAACCGGGCACCTCGAACCTGCCCGCCCTTCCTGACGGCCGAATGGGCCACCTCAGACCCCAGACGGCTCCAAGGCACCAGTACTTCGACATCCTTCGATATGATTTGTTCAACCCGCAGCTCCAGAGGTCCCGACCCCTTCCCCAGAGGGGGGGTTTTACGCCCAGGAGCCGTTTTTGGTCCTGGGGCCCGATAACGGGTCCTGGAGGCCGAAATCAAAAAAGTTCGCCCAGATTGTAAAACAAATCATAGATCTAGGTGCTACGTAGTGGTATCGGTTACCGCCAGGGGCCCCAGCGCCGATACGAGGAAAATCCGCGAGGACCTCTATGCTGATTTCAAATCTTGTTCCTTTAGACATGCGATGTCAGAATTTTTCAATACGGGGTCCCCGGAAGTCCCCGCCCTTTCCCCAGGGCCAGTTCCTGAGTTGTGTTCTGACGGCCCCAGGGCCCAGTGAGGTCCTCCGGAGGCCGAAAACGGCCAAAAACCTCCCCTCATTTTTCCACGACGCAAGCATGTCGTTACCCTGAGATCCGACGTTGCAAGAAATTGCGACACGGTCAGACATCACGACTGTAGCCCCAGCCCCCATTTTTCTGCGCCATTTCTCGAGCCAAATCGATATGCGAGGACCCCAGGGCCCGAAATCGGGCGAAAACGCCTGGTGTGAGAAAAAATGCAACGCCCAGATCTGAAGGCATTTATTCCTCTAGACCGAGGGGGGGGGCACTGGCATAGGGGGGGAACATCGACCTGGAATCGGCGATACATCGCCGATGGATGGGCGATAGGCCCTCGACAGTGAATCCGCACATTCCTGAAAGGGTTGGGGCTGTCGGGCCCCCATATGCGATCAATGGGCGATTGGGGGTCGATACATCACCCCCTGTGCCTATCCCCCCCTATCGTTGCCTCTGAGGTGCGTCGACCCCCAGAAGTCTCGACCCATTCCCCAGGACCGGTTTTTCATCCCAAGTCGTTTCTTGACGGCCACGAGGGCCAGTGAGGGCCCCCAGAGGCAACGTTCGCGAAAAACCTCCCGTCGTAACTTTTTCACCACGTGAGGGGGCCTGGGTAAAGACCCCGCCAGCGCTCCCCAGGAGAACCCATAATCGAATCGATAAGTCGAATCGGCGATCGAAATGAATCGGACCGGCGGCAGTCGGCAGAGCAGTGGGGCCCCATCGGGAAACCGGAATCCAAATCGGAATCCGAAGTCGAACCGAATCGGAATCGGAGCCCATGGAAACCGGGCCGAACCGCAGGCATCGAAGTGGGCCCTGGCTCCCCGTGCCGTGCGCCCCGGCCCCGGGCCTCCTCGGCGCCCTCGGCCTCGGCCCGCGGGGCTGCGGCCTCCGGCGGCGGGCCGCCCCAAAAGTCGTCGCTACCGGCGGGCGAGGCGGGCACCACCGCGGGCGGCTCCCGGGGCTCTGGGCCGCCGGCCTCGGCCTCGCCGATGACCGAGGAAGGAAGGAAGAGGAGGAGGAGGGATGCGGGAGGGGGAGGAGGAGGAGGGCAGGGGAGAAGGAAAGAGGAGGAGGAGGAGGAGGAGGAGGAGGAGGAGGAGGAGGAGGAGGAGGAGGAGGTGAGGAGAAGGGGGGAGGAGGAGAGTGGAGGAGGAGGAGGGGGGAGGAAGAGGAGGAGGAGGAGGAGGAGGAGGAGGAGGAGAAGACCTTCTGCGACCAGTCTGGCTCCTCGTCGTCGAAGTCGCCCTCGAAGAGCTCGTCGTCGGCCTCCTCGTCGCTGGAGTCGTCGGAGTCCTCCACCATTTCTTCTTCGAGGGGCGCCAGCTTCTTCGCCTGCTTCGGCCGGATGCCCCCCTCGCCCGGGGCGAAGACTGACGGAAAGGAGAAGTTGCTGACCTCGCTCACCTCCGGCTTGGGCACGTTTTTCGCCTCCAGCTCCGCGAGCTCCAGCTTCTTCTTGGAAGCCATTTCAATCATGTAGCGGCCCTCCAACCTTCTGATCCCCTTCTTCATGATGTCGATAGCCCTCTGCCATTCCCGGTAGCGGCTCCAATCACGTGCGAGAAGTCTGTCTCGCCGCCTCAGGTAGGAGACGTAATTGCCCCAGTAAGTGGCCGTCTTCCCCCGGTAGATCTCCACGATCTTCGTGCAGACCTGGTTGAGAAAGTACCTGTCGTGCGACACGATGACCATCGGGACGTCCTGCGATCGGAGGAAGTCCTCCATGAACTCCACGGTCTCCAGGTCCACGTGATTCGTGGGCTCATCGAGCAAGATCAGCTGAGGCTTGCGCAGCATGATCTGGCCCAGACCCACGCGCATCTGCCACCCTCCAGAGAGCTCGGGTATGGGTGTCGAGGCGAGCGAGGACAGGCCGAGCCTGGGGATCAGGTCTTCCACCTCCTGGTGCTGGAGCTCGGCCTCCGTACGTTCGCTCACCAACCGATCCAGCTCCCCGATGTCGCCCTCCATGGCCACCGACTCCAAGTCTGCGTCGATGGACTCCAGGTCGCGGCACCCGAAAACTGACAGGAGGGCCTCCCGCGCGGTGAGCGAGCTCTCCAGGTCGGCCTCCTGCTTCATGTACCCGATGCGCATGTCCGCCGGGCGCTTCACGACCTGGCCGGAGGTTGTCTGTAGCAAGTCGTTTATCATAAGCAGCATCGAGCTCTTCCCGCTGCCGTTAGCGCCGATCAGCCCAACCTTCTCCGCGCCGCTGATCTCCCACGAAACGCCGTTGAGCACTGGTTTGCTACTCGACCTCCTCTCTCCAGGAACATGCATGGTATTGTTGACGGCTGGCGTCCACGAGACGTCCTCGAACCTGACCTATGCGGCGGAGGAAACGGGGGGATAGCAAGGGGGGGTGCGCGAATCAGCTCTCACAGCTGGTTTCCTCTGGCGCCTCCTGGCGCCAGAGGTGCTAATGCATCCAGGGATAGGCGGCTGAGCCGAAACCAGCTGCTGCACGCAGCAGATGTCGTACCCCCCTTCCTTCTCCAACACGCCCCCCCTTTGGTCCGACGTGCGCGCCTCTATCGGCTCGCCAGGCACCCAGCCGTCCTTCTGCTCCTCCCTCGCCTCCTCCTCTTCCTCCGCCTTCTTCTCCCCGCCCTCCTTCGCCCCGCCGATCGCCGCGGCCAGGGCGGGCTCACTCTGCTTTTGCTTCTGCTTCGCCCAGGGCTTGTCGGAAGCTCTCGCGCCGCGCGGGGCCCTCGTTCTGGCGCCCGCCTTGGCGGAGACGGGCGCGCCTGCCGCGCCCGCGCCCGCGTGCGCCGCGCCGCGCTCCGCGAACTGCAGCTGCTTCTTGCGCTTCCCGCCTGCTGCAGCGCGGGCCGCCCGCGCGCGCCGCCGCCCGCGAAGAGCCCCGCCGAGCGCCAGTGCCGCGGCCGCGGCCGCGGCGGGCGGCGTGCGGCGGATGCCGCGACAAGCCTCCGGCAGCGGCGAAGCGGCCGCCTGCGGCAGCACGGCCGCGGGCCCTGGCGCTGGTGGCGCCGCGAGGCGCCGCGCGGGAGCGCCGGCCGCCGCTGGCGCTGGCGGAGGCGGCCCCGCCAGGGACATCCCCAGGCGCGCCACGGCGCGCAGGGGACGCGACTGTGCCCAGGCACGCTTGGGCCGAAGGAACACCGGACACGCACACAGGCCAGCAGCGGCACCATACACGCAGGAGCACACACACACACACGCTCCCTGCAGTGTTGCCAAGGGACGCACGTGTTAGAGGCTAGACTGGGCACCTGGCCCAAAACACACACACACACACATACATATATATATATATATATATATATATATATATATATAGATATGTGTAAATGCACACATACACACATACATGCATATATTCATGCATACATACATATATGCATACACTCATACACACAGAATCATACATACACACATATACATACATATATCTACTAGAACCATCGCGCGCGCTTCGCGCACGCTCAGGTTCTAGCCCAGGCCGGGGGGGCGCTGGACGTTCTTGGACAACGCTATCAAGCACAGGCGCGCGACGGCATCTGAGGAGCTTCTGGGGTGTTCCGCATGCTTCGTCAACTGGCTGTTGGAGGCACCTCTTGGGTGCCTCTTGGGGGGGCGTCTGAGGGTCCCTTGGGGGCATCGGTTCTGCAATCTGAAGCCGTCATTGGCCGTCTTGGCTGCGTGGAGGCCCGACTTGAGGCCACCTGCGGCCAGATTGAGGCAATCCGGAAGCCTCCCGGGGGCCTCCTGGAAGCAGTTTTGATGCATTTGGGGCACTCTTGGGCTATTTTAAAACCTCTTGGACGTCTCCCAGGGGCCTTTTGGGCCCTCGGGGAGCTTTTGGGGTCCTCGTCGGACCACTTTGGGGCCTCTTGCAGCCTCCTGTGGGCCTTGTGGGGGGACCGCTCTGCTGTTGGGTCGCGTTCCCCTTCTCGGGCCTCTCTTGGGGCTCTTGGGGCCCTCTCGGGCCGTCTTGGGCGCCTCAAGCACCGTCTTGGGGCCCTCGCGGGCCGTCTTGGGTCCCTCTTGGAGGCCTCTTCCTCTATGTGTGAGCGGTATTGGAAGCCTTTGGGGCCGTCTTGGAGCATCGGGATGCCAAAAGGCCGAAAAAAAAACCGTCAAAGCCCAATCGTAAAACAATGAGTTGTGCCTCTTGGGGCCACCTTGGGAGATCTCTTGGAGCCTCGTCGGCCCTCTTGGGAGCGTCTTGGGGGCCTCTTGGATCCGCTTGGGGGCCTCCTGGGACTTCCCGAGAACCTCTCGGGGTAGAAAGCTCGGATTCTCGGTTCATGTTTCCCTTCTTGGGCCTCTCTTGGGGCCGTCTTGGGGCCCTCTCGGGCCATCTTGGGCGCCTCAGGCACCGCCTTGGGGCCCTCGTGGGCCGCCCAGGGCCCTCTTGGAAGCCTCTTCGGATATCTTGGAGCTGTCTGGGAGGCCTCTTCCTCCTCCTCGTCCCCCTCCTCCTCCTCCTCCCACTCCAGCTCTCTCTCTCCTCCTGATCTTCCTTCTCCTGCAGCGTGTTCCGGAAGGCTCCCGCCGGAACATGCTGTGCACGAGTGTTGTCACTGCTCCCGCCACCGTGCCCTGGGTGGTGGGTCAGAGGCCTCATGGGTGTTGAACACGGTGTTGGTTTGGATCTCGTGGTTGGCCTGTCGGGGACGTCGTGAAGGCAGTTTCGCAGCTTCTCGGTAGCCGTTTTGGGACCGTTGTGGGGCCTCCTCGGGCTGCTTTGTGGCCTCTTTAGGCCTCGTTTGGGCCTCCTGGGTGCCTCTTGGGGGCCTCCTGGGGCCTCTTGGGGGCTCCTTGGGGCCTCCTGGGGCGCTCTTCAAGCGGAGGGTCGAATTTTGGAGTCGTGGTCCCCCTCTTGGGCGCATCTTGGGGCCGTCTTGGGGCTCTGTTGGGCTGTCTTGGGCGACTCTGGGGCCGTCTTGGGGCCGTCTTGGGGCCCTCTTGGGCCGTCTTGGGGCGCTCTTGGGGGCTTATTGAGCCGTCGTGGAACGTCGGACAGCCGAAAAGGCTGGAAGGCCAAAATCGTTCGAAAACCTGCGTAAACTTGACGATTTCGGCCTCTGGTAGCGCTCTGGAGAAGCGTCTTGAAGCGTCGTGGAGTGCCTTGGGGGGCCTCTCGGGCCGTCTTGGGCCTATCTTGGGCGTCCTGGAGCGGTCTTTCGGCGACTCGAGGCCCGCTTGGGCCGTCTTGGGAGCCTCTGGAGGCCCTCCTGGACTATTTTGGACCTCCCCGGCCGCCCCTCCTCCCATGGGGGGTTCGGAGGCGGCGCCCTCCGAGGCCCAGGACGCGGAAACCCTTTTAAAAACACAGGGAAAATGAGCCCCAGTACCCCCATGGAGGCTTTCGGCGCTTTTGGACCGATGGGAGCTCGAAAACGAGAGAAGCCAAAAAAACATTAAAAAGAACATTGAACATATACGACTTTGGCCTCTCCGGGCCGTACCGCGATACCTATCAGACTTCTTGGGGTCTCTTGGAGGCCACCTGGGAGCCTCGAGAGCCGTCGGAAGGCTGACTTGGGCTGCTCGGGAGCGTCTTGGGCCATCCTTTCGCATTCTGGGGGCTCCTAGGGGGCGTCTTGGGCCCTCCTGGAGCGCTGTGGAGGCTGCCCAGAAAGGCTGGGGCAGCAGTGCCGGGAGCGTCCCCGAGATGTGGCCATATCTTTTCAGCGCGTTCCAGGAGCATCTTCCCGGAACGCGCTCGTGGCAGGGCGCCCACGTCCGAGGACGTTGGCATGGGAAACCGCAGCGCGTGATCATTCCAGCGCGTTCCGGCGAAGACCGTCCGGAACGCGCTTGGGCAAGCGCTGGGTTTGAGGAAGGCGAGTGGGAACCGTTCAGGCAGTTTGGGATGCTCGGGGCAAGAGGCGGAAGCCATCCTCAGAAGACATGCAGTCTTCCTGGAGCCGTCTTGCAGAAAACAAAAGAAAAATGAGACCCTGCAGTCGTTCCTGGAGCCGTCTTGGAGCCCTCTTGGGCTGCCCTGGAGCCTGTTGGAGCCCTCTGCGGAATGGTCTTGGAGCCCGCGCCGAGGATCTGGAAAATGTCCGGGACCATCGCGGCGGCCTCCGAGGCCCGGGACGCCGAAACCCCGTGAAAACACAGCGAAAATGAGCCCCGGTACTCGCATGGAGGGTCGGGCAGCTGTTTTCGGGCCCCTGGGTTAGAACCATCGCGCGCGCTTCGCGCGCGCTCAGGTTCTAGCCCAGGCCGGGGGGGCGCTGGACGATCTTGGACAACGCTATCAAGCACAGGCGCGCGACGGCATCTGAGGAGCTTCTGGGGTGTTCCGCATGCTTCGTCAACTGGCTGTTGGAGGCACCTCTTTGGTGCCTCTTGGGGGGGCGTCTGAGGGTCCCTTGGGGGCATCGGTTCTGCAATCTGAAGCCGTCATTGGCCGTCTTGGCTGCGTGGAGGCCCGACTTGAGGCCACCTGCGGCCAGATTGAGGCAATCCGGAAGCCTCCCAGGGGCCTCCTGGAAGCAGTTTTGATGCATTTGGGGCACTCTTGGGCTATTTTAAAACCTCTTGGACGTCTCTCAGGGGCCTTGTGGGCCCTCGGGGAAGCTTTTGGGGTCCTCGTCGGACCACTTGGGGGCCTCTTGCGGCCTCCTGTGGGCCTTGTGGGGGGACCGCTCTGCTGTTGGGTCGCGTTCCCCTTCTTGGGCCTCTCTTGGGGCTCTTGGGGCCCTCTCGGGCCGTCTTGGGCGCCTCAAGCACCGTCTTGGGGCCCTCGCGGGCCGTCTTGGGGCCCTCTTGGAGGCCTCTTCCTCTATATGGGAGCGGTATTGGAAGCCTCTTGGGCCGTCTTGGAGCATCGGGATGCCAAAAGGCAGAAAAAAAACGTCAAAGCCCAATCGTAAAACAATGTGTTGTGCCTCTTGGGGCCACCTTGGGAGATCTCTTGGAACCTCGTCGGCCCTCTTGGGAGCTTCTTGGGGGCCTCTTGGATCCGATTGGGGGCCTCTTGGGACTTCCCGAGACCCTCTCGGGGTAGAAAGCTCGGATTCTCAGTTCGTGTTTCCCTTCTTGGGCCTCTCTTGGGGCCGTCTCGGGGCCCTCTCGGGCCGTCTTGGGCGCCTCAGGCACCGCCTTGGGGCCCTCGTGGGCCGCCCAGGGCCCTCTTGGAAGCCTCTTCGGCTATCTTGGAGCTGTCTGGGAGGCCTCTTCCTCCTCCTTGTCCCCCTCCTCCTCCTCCCACTCCAGCTCTCTCTCCTCCTGATCTTCCTCCTCCTCCTGCAGCGTGTTCCGGAAGGCTCCCGCCAGAACATGCTGTGCACAAGTGCTGTCACTGCTGCCGCCACCGTGCCCTGGGTGGTGGGTCAGAGGCCTCATGGGTGTTGCTTTGGATCTCGTGGTTGGCCTGTCGGGGACGTCGTGAAGGCAGTTTCGCAGCTTCTCGGTAGCCGTTTTGGGACCGTTGTGGGGCCTCCTCGGGGCTGTTTTGTGGCCTCTGTAGGCCTCGTTTGGGCCTCCTGGGTGCCTCTTGGGGGCCTCCTGGGGCCTCTTGGGGGCTCCTTGGGGCCTCCTGGGGCACTCTTCAAGCGGAGGGTCAAATTTTGGAGTCGTGGCCCCCTTCTTGGGCGCATCTTGGGGCTCTGTTGGGCTGTCTTGGGCGACTCTGGGGCCGTCTTGGGGCCCTCTTGGGCCGTCTTGGGGCGCTCTTCGGGGCCTATGAGCCATCTTGGAACGTCGGACAGCCGAAAAGGCTGGAAGGCCAAAATCGGTCGAAAACCTTCGTAAAATTCGCTCTGGAGAGGCGTCTTGAAGCGTCGTGGAGTGCCTTGGGGCGCCTCTCGGGCCGTCTTGGGCCTATCTTGGGCGTCCTGGAGCGGTCTTTCGGCGACTCGGGGCCCGCTTGGGCCGTCTTGGGAGCCTCTGGAGGCCCTC